AATTATCTCTACAAAAACTTGTACACAAATGTCACAGCATAATTATTCAGTGTGGCAAAAAAAGTGGAAACCCAAATGTCTATTAGCTGACGAATGAATAAACAAAATGTGGTATATGGAACAAGTAATGGAATGTTATCTGGCCATAAAAGGCATAAAGTACTGAAAACATACTACAATATGGATGAACCTTGAAAATATGATGGTAGGTGAAAAGAGCCAGACATAAAAGGCCATTTGTTATATGATCCTATTTATATATGTCTAGAATAGGCAAAGCCATAGAGACAGAAAGTAGATAAGTGGTTATGAGCTACAGGAGAGGGAGGAATGGAGAGTGACTGCTAGCGCAGTTTCTGTTTGGGGTGATGAAAATGTTCTGAAGTAAGATAGTGGTGGTGGTTGTACAACTCTGATTATACTAAAAGCCACTGACGTGCACACTTTATGAATTATATTTCAATAGTTATTACTATTTTTTAAAAATATATTTTTATTGATTTCAGAGAATAAGGAAGAGGGAGATAGAAACATCAATGATGAGAATTATTGATCGGCTGCCTCCTGCACGCCCCCTACTGGGGATCGAGCCCACAACCTGGGCATGTGCCCTTGACCGGAATCGAACCTGGGACCTTTCAGTCCACATGCCGATGCTCTATCCACTGAGCTAGACCAGCTAGGGATCAATAGTTATTTTTTAAAAATTGTACCAATGTAGACATTATGTTATGAAGTGTTTTTGGAGAAGTACTTCACAGCTAAAGAGAGCAGATTGTAAGTTTTCTTAAGGAAGAGAATGGCAAGTTTTCTTACAAATGGACAAAGGAATTCTTTCTGTCTGAAATAATAGTGTGCAGCACAGAAAAATAGCCAACTAAGATTACTTGGCTGTGTGGGGTTGGCTTTACCGTATCTCTATTTTTTTTGTTCTGTGTGTATGTCTGTGTGCATGCATTCCTAAGTCTGTCTGATTTAATTTTCAAAAGCATATGTACTGCTTTAACAATATGTATAATAAAATGTTACAGATGGGGTCACAGTGGTTATAAAGAGTTATACCCTGAAGAATTTGAAACAGACAGGTAAGACAAATAGGCTTACTGGAAAAGTTAGAAACTAAGCTTAGTATAAAGTCTGAACTGTAATTTGAGTTTAAGCGCAGTTTTTACAAAGCATGTAATATTTGCCATTAAAAATGTAACCAAAGAATAATTGGCAATTTAGATGGAAGGTGATAGGTATTTTGCCTTTCCTTGATTGATGTTTGACATATCTATAGCACTTGTTTTTTTTTAAAATATGTTTTTATTGATTTGAGAGAGAGAGGAAGGGAAAGGAGAGAAACATCCATCAGCTGCCTCCTGCATGCCCTGTACTGGAGATCAAGCCCGCAATCCTGGGCATGTGCCCTGACTGGGAATCAAACTGGTAACCTCTTGGTGCATGAGAGGGCGCCCAACTAACTGAGTCACACTGGCCAGGAGTATAGCACTTAGGTCTTTATATCTAGTGTCCCATACAGTAATTCAGTATGGCAGATTAGAATTTTTTTCAAATTAAAAATTCTTATATAATTTTAAACAAAAGTTTTCTACCTATCGGATTGGCAAAAAAATATTTTTTATAATGGCCAGTGTTGCTAATACTAGTGATAAGCAGATCTTAATATACTCTTTTTTTTCCCTGAGTCCAGTGATTTTTAATGGTTTTATTGTTGTTTTACAGATTAGAATTTTTATCTTCATTTTAAAGATGAGGAAAAACTCAGAGTTATTAAGTCTCATAGTAACCCTTTGTCAAAGCTGTTTTAAAATTTAGATGTTAACCATAACTTTCTATCTGGAATGCAGAATATTAAAATATTTTCATTTTCTATAGTAAAGGTTTTTCTCTTTTTTATTAGTGATCATCAAGATATTACCAATGGGAAAAAAAGATCTCCCCAGGTAAAATCATCTACCCACGAATCTCACAAACACAAGAAATCAAAGAAATCTCACAAGAAAAAGCAGAAAAAGAAGTCACACAAAAAACAGAAGAAAAGCAAAAAGGAAGTCACAGATATAACAGCAGATTCCTCAAACGAGTTCTCAGAAGAAACTGGGGCTTCTAGTACCAGGAAACAACCACATAAGCGTAAGAAAAAATCAAGGAAAAAGTCTCTCAAAAAGTCTGCTGTCGTTTTAGAGGCAGAAAGTGACACTTCTCAGTCTGATGACTCAGCATCCAGCAGTTCTGAGGAAAGAGACACTAAGAAAACCAAAAGGGAAAAAAAAGATAAAGTCAGTATCCCTGTAGTTAGCAATGAAATACAGGAGAGGACAAAAACAAACAAACGCACAAATTGGAAAGTGGCTACAGATGAAAGGTCTGCTGAGAGTTCGGAGGATGACTAAATGAGAAACAGTCTTCAGTTCCCACTGACTTGGATATTGACAGCTCTTGCACCTTGGGGCTTTGCCGATGACTCTTGTGCAGCACAGGGGGCCTGAGGGCGGAGTTGTCCTGTGCCATCTGTGTACATCTGACAGACGTGTCTTCTGTTTTGGCCTGTTAAACTTGATCCTCTTATTGTTAATAGGGAATCTGGTATTTTGTTATGAAGGTTTCTTGAAGAGATTATTTTTTGCAGTTAATTACATTTAGCGTAGAGTGTATATACAGCAAATTAAAGGACCCAGGAGGCAGAATCCAATAATGCCCTGGGTATACCAGTTAGAATGTTGAGTTTGGGGAAAGCGAAGGCTAGGATCACGAGGTAGATTGGAACCAGTGTTGTGCGGAATGTATGCTAAGGGAACATCCAGTTGCTCTTGTTTGGTTTATTGCAGGTGCCACTTTGTCTCAGCCTTGGTGCTTTGATCTTTCTGTATTTTGGCCCCATTGGTCTGGTCGTTTATTTAATGGGGAAATGAGCGTAAGAACCAATATTTTACCTTTACAACACCCATAGACAGCTGTTATCAGCAGAGACTAGTGTTTTCTGTTAAATTTTCCTGCTGGACAGGGACTGTAGCTATATTCAGTATACCCATAAACATGGTAATTGGATAGTAAATGTCTTTTTTCTTTTTAAATTCTTTATGGATAGTAAATGGTTTTCTAGTTCCATTGCTGTATATTGCCTAAATGGACTTGTGTTCAAAAATTACTTCTTTTCCGTTAACTCCTTAACAAATGGGGGAGAATTAGGAGTCATGTAATGGTGCTCTGAACGGGCTTCAGGGCAGTACCTGCCATTTAAATGTCTTCCTTGTTCATTTTGAAATCTATTAATGAACTTTAGATTTTCCCTGAAACTAGGTTGAATCAAATCCAAAATGAAAGACTTCTCAGGGACATATCTACTTCTTTTCCAGCTTGCCTTTGGATTAAAGCACCAAGCAGAGACCATATTATTCCCTTTTGCTATATGTGTAATCCCTACTATGTTAATTCATAACACTGAAAGAAGGCTGGCAGAACACAAGTTAATTTTTTCATTATGGCAGATTAAGTGACATGTTGTTTTTCCTAGTTGTCACTTCATGGGCTGAGTAAAAAGCTTGAAAACTCACTTGTCTTGGTTCTGCCACTAATTGGTTATGTGGTCTGGAGTAGGTAAGTTAACCTCTCTGGCCTTCCTTTGAACCCCATATGTAATATGCAAATACTTCATGGCGATATGACATTATAGGACACCAGCAACAGAATATAACTATGACATCATTCCACGAGGTGGTAAATTTTATAGTTCTGCTAAATTTCTTTACAGATTGCTAACAAAATGTTTGGTCATGAAGTACATGGTTGGCTAGAGGTTCCTGATCCCAATTACAAGCAGGTGCTACCTTTGGGGCTATTTATTTGAAATATTAACACTTTGGTACTCAACTGTCAATGTTCAATGGTATATATTTTTACCTTTGGGATTAGTAGAGACCCAAGGGAGGAAGAGCAGTCTATAATTACTACCTCTTAACCTAAAGCAGTTTTGTTCTTAGAGCAAGTGAAATCTTTGTTGGAGGGAGTGTTCACTTTTTTTTTTCTTTTTTAAACATTGTTTCTGTGCTATAAAAGTACTGAGTCTCAGCAGACTCAGGAGAATGGGTGAGTGGGACAAGGCATCTCCAGGAAGTTGGTTCTGTTTGGGTCTTGACCTTCCCTTCCTCCCATAGTAGCAGACTCCTCTTTCCCAATGAATACACATCTTGCTTGTTTTGTTTTTTGCCATGTTTACCTTTTCTTGGTCATGTATAAGCAATAAAGCTGTTTTCTGTTCTTCACCTTTTTCAACCCTAAATTTTCTTCTATGCCTTAAGCTAAGGCTCTGATGTTTCTTCCAGCCCCTTAAATACCATTTGCACTACTAGCCCTGGAACATATTTAGTCCTAGTGTTTCTGCCAATCAGAGATCTTATTAAATCCTAAAGTGGGATTTTAAAAATAGAGTCGGAGAACTCACATTTATTGAATAATTGTTGTGATACAATGTGGAGTTTCTGAATTCCAAATAAATAAATTTCACTTTTGAATTTTCGATCTGTTACTTTTTAGCACCAACAGGCTTGGTAATAGCCTGAAGTTGACCTGACAGTGGGTTGACAACTTTCCAATAACAAGTCCTTTGCTGCTTCTGTCATTCTCCTAGGGAATGGCCTACTGCCCTCCTTTCTGTACAATCTGGGCAAAACGACTGGTGATGGCGAGAGTAGTGTCAATGAAGCGGTCCACACAGCTAGAGAGACAATTTTCAGTACGAGAATCTAGGCGATTCCCTGGCTTTTCCACACATTTATCCCAACATAGCTCCATGAAGTGGTGCACCTAAGAGGAAAGAAAAGCAGTAACCATTAGGGCCTGTATATAGGTCTACCTGCCAATTTTCTTATTTCCTTCCCATTTTCATTTTCTGTCACCTAATTAAAACAGTCTTTCAAACAACAAACCATGGGCTCTCCTCTTTCCTCACTTCCTACTGTCCCCAAAATGGTCCAGATCCTCAGCCCTACATTGCAACAATTCTTTTTTTTTATATATATTTTATTGATTTTTTTACAGAGAGGAAGGGAGAGGGATAGAGAGTTAGAAACATCGATGAGCAAGAATCATCGATCAGCTGCCTTCTGCACACCCCCTACTGGGGATGTGCCCACAACCAAGGTACATGCCCTTGACCGGAATCAAACCTGGGACCCTTCAGTCCACAGGCCAACGCTCTATCCATTGAGCTAAACCAGTTAGGGCTGCAACAATTCTTTTATCCTCTCCTTTTCTATTTTTCTCTTCAATAATTACAAAATACTTTGCATCAAGTCACCTGTGTTTGCTTAATCATCAGTTTCTCTGTTAGCTATTCAGGGCACTCCCTTATTTAACCCCCACCCATATGGTTTCAATGAGGCCCACAGAGCATACCCAACTTGACTCTTTTTTTGTTGTTAATCCTCACCTGACGATATTTTTTTCCCTGGAAGTGGGGGTTGCCTCCCCCACTATTCCCGACTGGGCTGGGGATCAAACCTACAACCCAGGTACCAGGAATCGAACCTTCTGTGTTAGGGCTGAGGCTCTAACTGAGCTACACTGGCTAGGGCTCAACTTGACTCTTAATATTCTTGAAGGCCCTCCCTAAAGATTTTACCAATTCTTCAAAACAGTTCGAATTCTTACTTGCCTGAAGGCCACTGCCTATTATTTTCTACTTGTGTCAAGTCCTCAATCAGAATGTAAATTTTCAAGCAGAATTAATTACCTTTTTTTTTTTTTAAAATCCCAAACTAGCACCAGTGTAAGCTGAGAAGGTATGGTACCAATTACTTCCCCAAACCACTGCACCCGTATCATTCTAAATCTATCCCTTCTTGGGTTCTTAACCTTTTTGAGAATCCAATGGATCCACTCTCCAGAAAAATGCACATACAGGCACAGAAGATGTATGCACTTTCATAATGTTCAGAACTCAAAGATTTCTAACCAGGGTGGTGGTGGTGGTGGGCGGGCAGGGGGCGGAGAGGAGAGAAAAATATCATTTACCAAGGACTCACTATTTGGGGAGGCTGAGAACTAGGCACTCAGTCAATCCTTTTTGCGGTAATAAAAGATGACTTGTCACCTTCGCTGAAGAGGCGCGGTAGGTAATCAGCCCTAAGTAACGCGGCTAATGCGGCACCGGGCCGGGGTTCCGTGCCGAACAAGCTCCAAAGCTCTTGTAGACTGATTACTTCAGAGCCCCCCGCTCCAACCCCCCAATAAGGTTCTACCGTTTTCAAATACATCATCGCGTCTGGTCCTCACAGTGCAGTAAGGGGCCGGGCGACTGCGAAACCAAGTCCCGTCGTGGCTGGGTGTCCGCCTGGAGGCACGTGGCACGCCAGCGGCAGAGGCACGATTCGAACCTAGATCTCCCGAATGTCAGCCCAGAGGGCTCGCCACCCAGCTCGGCTCCCGGACCCTTGCGCCGCCCAAACCTTTCTTTTCTGCTTCACACCTACTTCCCCCACCGGGGTTTGCTTAACGGCCCCTGGGCACCGCCGCGCACCAGCGGCTGGGGTGCCGCGACTCGTTTCTCTTGCGAGGGAACCGGGCCTGGCAGGGACACCGGGCGACCTCCCCGCGGCCGCCTGCGCCTGGACTGCAGCCTCGTCTCTCTTCACCCTGGTCCCTGTCCCGCACCTGTGCGGTGAACTGCGCCTTCTGCTGCTCGGCCGCCACCAGGCGCTGCAATTCCGCTTCGTCGGCCTCCCCCAGCTCCGCCATTGTCCACCTCGGGGCTCCGGACTTCCGGTCACGTGTGTGCGCATGTGCGGCGGCCGCACACCGACTCCCGGCTCCCAACTCCCGACTTCCGGTTCACCAAGCGTTTTCCTTTTCCTTGTTTTCTTTCGTGTGGTGGTGGTGGGCGGTGCCTGTGACTGCTTCCGGGTTGCTGGATGACCTTGAACCTTCAGGAGCGAGATGGCGAGCGTGTGGAGGCTGAGTGTCCTCTGCGGTGCCCGAGGAGGCCGAGGTGAGGGTCCAGCGGCCGGGGCTCCCAGCGCGGCTTCCCGCTGGGCAGGGAGGCGGGAGGAGTCCTCTGCGGGTGGCGCGGCCTCTGGAGCGCGGCGGGCCTCCTCCTTCCCTCTGGCCGCTCTGGCTCCGGTGGAAACCACAGCAGCGACCCCCGCGCTGCGGGCCCAGCTATTCCCGGAGCGCTCTCTCCCGGCCTGGGCCCACGTGGTGAGGGGGCACATCTGCGAGATCTGCCTCTGGGAGCCGGCCCGCCGAGGCTGCTCAGGAGCTCGCCCCCTCCCCACCCGCTGTCCTTACCGAGCTCCCACCCCCTCGGAAAAGAGCATCGGAATCCCCGTGCCGGGTCTTGCTCCTCGAGGGGGTGTACGGGACCGATTCGGTAGACATTGAACGGGGCATGTGTGTTATATCCGGCACTGCAGTAAGCTTGGGATTCAGGTGTGAATAAAACACAGTTCTTGCCCGCAAAGACTTTTCCTTTTTATAGGGAAAACACATGTAAGCATAATTTAACACCAAACAACGGTTGTGCTGTCCACACATTGTTATACCGTCCAGAGGGAGGATATATTCAGCGCCCGGGTTGGAAGGATTACTTGGTCTCCCTTCCTGAAGGAGGTGTGCCTGACCCACAAGGCCACGGGAGTAAGGTCATTACAGTTAGGGCTCCTGGGGTGAGCAGGTGCAGCGATGGAGGAAGGTGTAGAGACTGGTTGTTAGGCGAGGAAACAAAACAAGTCGGATATCATTAAAGCTGAAGCTCGAGGTCAGGAATTAGCGCTGAATCTGGAAAGGAGACCTGGAGTCAAATCATACAAGAACTTGCCTTGATAAGGGGTATGCATTTTACCTGGTGTGAAGGGGAGCCATTGAAAAATTTGACATAGATTTGCAGTTTATTTTTTAAATATGTTTTTATTGATTTCAGAGATGAAGGAAGAGAAAGATAGAAACATCCATGATGAGAGAGAATCATGTATTGGCTGCCTCCTGCAAGTCCCCCACTGGGGATGGAGCCTAAAACCCGGGCATGTGCCCTTGACCAGAATTGAACCTGGAACCTTTCAGTTCTCAGGCCAACGCTCTATCCACTGAGCCAAACCGGCTAGGGCTAGATTGCAGTTTAGATGGACCACTTTGGTAGCAGGGTGGTAGATGGCCATTAGGGGAGATGGTCAGGCTAAGACACAAGTCAGGGAGATGAGGTAGGGCACTGGTACAGGCAAGGATGATGAGGTCCTGAACTTGAAGAGAAGTACAGAAAACATTGTCTCAAGAGATGTTTGGGTACATCAGTGCGATTTGGCAATTGACTGAATTTAGGGAGAAAATCCTACATGACTTACAGGTTTCTGGGTTAGGGTTGGATGTCCTTAAAGTGGGGAACATGCAAATGGGAGACAGTTTTGGATGAGAAAGTGAGTTGAAGGATGATTTTAGTTTTTGGCATGGTGAGTGTGAAGACCACGTAGGATATGTCAGGGGAGAGGCCCAGCAGGCACTTAAACTTCTCAAACTGGAGAGATATCAGGGCTGGAGATACAGAATTGGGGTGTCGTCAACTCAGTAGAAGCTGAATAGACAGAATGACTAGGGGTGGGCAGAGGAAGGGAGAAGAGCAATGGGCAGATGATGGAATCTGGGAAAACATTTAAGAGTGAATGCAGGAGGTCTGGCCCGTGTGGCTCAGTGGTTGAGTGTGGACTCAGGAACCAAGAGGTCGCTGGTTCGATTTCCAGTCAAAGCACAGGCCTGGGTTGCGGGCTCGATCCCCAGTAGGGGGTGTGCAGGAGGCAGCTGATCGATGATGCTCCCCTGTTTCTATCCTTCTCCCTCTCTCTAAAAATCAATTAAAAACGTATTTTAAAAAAAAGAGTGGATGCAGGAGGAGACTAATATAGGATGATCAGAGAGTCAAAAAGAGAATTACAAGAGAGTTCTGTCAGAAAAGAAGGGAGGAAAGAGCATAATGCCAGGTGGTGATGAAAGGCCCAATAAGATGAAGACTGACAGTACCTGTTGAATATGGCTACTTGAGACCATTGGCAACTTACCAAAGCAGCTTTGGTGGGGATAAAAATAAGTTTCTGAGTTAAAGAATCACAGGGAAGCTGAGATGATTTTTTTTTAAAAATTTTACTTTATTGATTTTAGAGAGAGGAAAAGAAACATCGCTGTGAGAGAGAAACATCAATCGGTTGCCTCCTGTACGTGGCCCCACCAGGATCAAACCTGAAACCTGGGTATGTGCCCTGACCAGGAATTGAACCTATCACTTTTTGGTGTATGGGATGATACTTCAACCCACTGAACCATACCAGCCAGGATGATTTAAATAACACTTTAAAGAAGCATGGGTGGAAGGAGGAGAAAGAGAACAGGGAAAGAGCACATGGGCCTTGTAGGAATTAGTATCAAGGGAAGTATATTACATCAGTGGAGGGAAAATGGCCAATTGGAAGGAGAGGTTAAAGATACAGGAGAGAAATGACCTTTAACTTCCTGGAATTATACTGAACACTTTGCATATATTATTTAATTTTCAACAGTATTATAAAGTAAGTGCTATTATTTCCTTTCTACAATTGAGGACATTGAGGTTAGGAGGTCTGTCTTACTTAATTGCTGATCATCTCACAGCTTGTAAGTAGTGGAGTTGGGTTAACTAAGGTCTGCCTATTTTTTAACGAAGACACAGGATCCCAAATAGGACAGAAAGAGATGGGTTCAGGGGTACAAGTGGAGAAATTGATCTTGAAAAGGAGGATGCTAATAGATGAACTTGCCAAACTAGACTGAATTCCTTGAGAACAAAGACTGTATCTTGTATCTCTTACTCCACTGCCAAGCGGATGAGTAAATGGAAGGAGAAAACTATAATTTACTTTTTTAAATTAGTAAAAGTGAAGTCTTTTTACGTAAGTGGTTTGTTGATTTTTCAGTCTTCCAGTGGTTACTCAGTCTGACCTCACAGCAACCCAGTGAAATAGATGTTATCTTTTTATTTTTTATTTGTGTTGATTTCAGAGAAGAAAGTAGAGGGAGACAGAGATAGAAACATCAATGATGAGAGAGAATCACTGATCGGCTGCACACCCCTCACTGGAGATCAAGCCCATACCCAGGCATGTGCCCTGACCAGGAATTGAAACGTGACCTCTTGGTTCATAGGTCGATACTCAACCACTGAGCCAAGCCGGCCTGGCAAAATAGATGCTATCTTTCTTTTACAGATGAGATGTTATCCTCTGTTTGGGTTGAAGTAACTTACCTTTGGTCATTTAGGAAGTCTGTCAATCCTGTTACAAGAGAGGTGCTTATGATCCTCCTAATGTCTCTTTCCTTAGCTCTCTTCCTCCGAACCCCAGTGGTCAGACCTGCTCAAATCTCGGCATTTCTCCAGGACCAACCTACCCCAGGATGGTGTGGAATACAGCACATTCACCTGTCACCCAGCCGCCATTGTATGTTTTCTCCATTGCTGCTGCTTTCTGGGCTCTGGCCATCTTCATCTTAGCTAATTACCATGTCTTTGGGAGGACTTGTTGTCTGTGGGGGGAACTTTTGTGTCCAGCTCTGTCAAATGAAGACCTAGCCTATGCCTTTGGGCAGACACCACCAACATGGTTGAATGATGCCATTTACACTCAGAGAATCTTCTGGTATAAGTCTTTTTAAAAATGTTTAATTTTTTAAACAAGAATATAGCTTTAGGAAGAGTCTGTTCAGTAGTTTAGTTATTCTTATTTATTTAGTTTATGGAGAGGAGCCAAATATGAATAACTTAAAATAGTGGGCAGTTTTTAAAAAGTTATGCATATTTATAGTTGTAATTAACTTGTTTGTTTTTATATAGATTGATATTAAAATCATGGTATTTCTTGGATGAATACTGTTTAGATATTATTAAAGTTAGTCTTAGAAAGCCTGTAGGTGAATAATGAGTTGACTGTAATTCCATTTTTGAAGTCTGGAAAGATCAAATAAAGACTTCTCTTGACTCTTAGATCAACCACTTAGATATAGTTGCATCTGAGTTATGAGAAATTATACAGTGTAATCTTTTGCTTTTTAGACTAACTTTATGTTTGAAAAGTTTTTGTTTCTGCATTTTGTTGCTTAGTTTAGTTAGATTTAGAAGAGTAGTTTTAACTTGGGATGCATGGGACTGAAAATCCTGAAGTTGTATACATAGTTTTAATGTATGTGTTTGTGTGCATTTTTTCTGGAAGTTTCTCTATCCTTTTATTAGATTCTCAAAGGGGGTCTGTAACAAAAAAAAGATAGAGGCTCTCAAGGAAATGTTTATAGCCCATTTGGTTTTTCACTTGCTTATTGTTCCATTTCTGTTTATGAGCAATGGGACAGAACAAGGACCATGGTCCTAAAAGTTGACATCAGAACTTTGCTTCTCTGAGTTGGCTGTTTTCATTTAAAAGAAAAGAAAAAGTAATGTTTTAAAGGAATTTCTCAAGTATCCCTAACTTGTATTCATTAGGTATTTGTCCATTATACTGAAGTCGAAGGTTGGTAATTCTGAAAATATATTTTGTCCATTTCTTGCCTATAAGTAAAGTGGATCTGTCTTCTAATCAACATGTGTAGGTGTTGAGACAACCTGTACTCCAAAAGGGCAGGCGGAGGGGGGAAGCATCTCTTTCAATTACCTCCATTATCTTACCCTGTTTTATGCTCAGAGTTAAGTCTTATATGCATATTGTTTGCTCTTCTGTCAATTTGAGTTATTGTGTGGCAGATACTGAATGTGAGAGTTAGGTTTACCCCTTCAACTCTTATGAATCTGGTTCCTCCTTTC